TTTTAGCCGCTTGAAACTTGCACTTCTTCAGACTAGAATTGAATGTGTTACAAAACTGCATACCAGAATTTTTTCTAAAGATTCTGATTAAAAAGTTTGAAATTTGGGTGAAAAATCGCAAAATTTTTATAATTTTTATACAAAGTTTAAAATCTGAATTTATATGGTGTTTGTTGTATAGCCAGCTAGGCTTTTATAAAAAAATAATAAACATTAAATAAACAAAAGACAAATAGCCAAAACTGGTCAAAATATCGCACTCCTATTATTTTGTGGACAACTGTACATACATATATGTTCATATGTATGTACGCATGTATATAAAATATTTTGTTATGTGTATGTGCAGTCGCTTATATGCTTATTAATTTAATACTTAGGGTGAAATACACTTGCAAAAGAGTTATTTTATCTACTAACTATGTACATACATACGTAACGTATAATGGCCGGTTAGCTACCTTTGTTCGCTCTCTTTTCGCAACGCATTTTATTATAAACGGATTTCAGTTCACTTCAACGCTTATACAAATGTACATCTGTACATATGTATATATTTAGCAACACATTGTTAGCCACTAACAATCTGCCTTTGAGCCATTTTTATTTTATCTCTTTACGTGGCACAGAAGACACAATATTTTAATTGACGTTGAAAAACGGCCGAACCTTTTTATATTCTTAATAAATTTTAGCTCATTTGCTTGGCATGTTTTAACAGCTGTAGTTGTGCGGGTCATATAATTGTAGTGAATATATCCGCCGCAGTGTGCATTGTTTTGTGCAAGTGAAAATATTATTTAGTAACATTTATTAAAACCTTTGGACAGGCTTATTTATGCACAATTACTAAGCAAAAATTGCAAAAAAATTACTGAAATGTTCGAACCACTGCAAGAGAAACTAACGCAAATTTATCACGAGCAAAAAAATTTGACAATTGGTTAATATGCAGCGAAATATTTATTATATGCGTACTATATGTATGCCAAGATATGTATATTTTTTATTTCAAGGGCTTATTTAAGAATGTTGGCTAATTTTATTTTGCCTTTTTCAGGTGCTGCTGCATTCTGTGCATTATATTTGATTTTCGGCTATGGTGCTCAGCTGCTGTGCAACACAATTGGTGTTGCCTATCCTGCTTATATCTCCATACACGCCATTGAGTCGAGTACAAAATTGGACGATACCAGATGGTTAATTTACTGGGTGACTTATGCTATATTATCGCTGATTGAATATTTCTCCGGTTTTCTGACCTCTGTCGTACCTTTTTACTGGTTACTTAAGGTGAGTTGAATATTTATACCGCGATATGAAAAAAGTAAATACTTTTAGATAATTTTCTTACTTTTAATACGAGAGATTTTTAACACAAAAACTTAATAAATCTACATATCGCACACCGTCTTCAAAAGAGTCACAACTCAAAATAATACGTTCCTCAGAAAATGCGAAAAACTATTTCGTAGCACATGCTTATCATATGGGCAAGGGCGACTTTACCTTAGGTATTTTTAACGAATCATAACACAAATTTGCTCCAGCCAAATTTTGAGTTGTGCCTCTTTTGAAGACGGTGCAAAGATATGCAAATGCATATCACTCATTTACTAAAACACTGTCGTACAGCCTTATTCTGTATCATGAACGATAGGCAATACGAAAGATTCGTCTGCAGAGGAATGCTTCAAAAATTAGTCCGGCGGCATCATTTTAGCCGGT